CCACCTTATAAGATAGCAGATTTTGCTTAGAGATTACTTAAAGATGAAGATGAGCAAGTTGAGCAACTCGAAGGTTTGTTCATACAATAAGAGTTTGTATTTAACATCACAGAATTGATATGTCATTAAAACAATGTTTGAAGGACCTGCATTAATAGTAAATTTAAAAAACACATGAATAGGTTTGAGCAAGTAAAAGTAGGTTTATCACAGTTGAATGAACTTTCAAAGAATTGTATATATATGTTTTAACTAAATATTAACTGTTTAAATAAAATTTTGAATAATGAGCATGCATACTTGTGTATTTTTTGACCAACTTTAGAAATTAGTTTAAGAATTGCTTCTTTAAGGATGCGAAACCTCGGATAACAGCTTTTTTTTAACCACGAGTTAAAATATATAAAAATAATATAAGTTAAAAAATTATATTATTGAAGAACTTACAAAAGACTTACTGCATTTTTTTTTATTTTATTTATTTATTATTTAAGGTGCGCTAAGAAGACCTAACAGTCTTGTCATAGAGCACCGCGGAAGTACATTTAACCAGGAAGTTCACGCCTCCTTCCTTCTTTTTTTGACAACAACTGTCATACAGTTGCTGCTATTATGTCAATAATAATAAATAAAGAATTAAATGCAAACATATATTTTTTAGACCAGAGAGAAGAGTAAATAGCCGAAATGATAAAACTTATTTCTTATCGGATTAAAAATAGCTAATATCTAGGTTCTACTTTTAATGCGTTTGTACATGATCTGTTTGTGATTTTTCATGATGTTTGTACTTGATCGCTTTCCAAATTTGATTGTACAAAAACTAGTAAGAAATTTCAAATAAAAAACAAAAAATGAATCAATTGGCAATATTTATTATCACTCAACTACAAACCACAAACACATACTTCCGCGGCATTAACTATGATTACATTGAGAGCAACTTATCAAGCTGAGGACTACCTGGCAATAGCGTTTGTTTCTAAATGGACTTCTTTACACCAAGACAGCTTAAAATGGTTTCGAATAAAATTAAAATGGGTTTAAATGAAGGCTAGGTTCCATCATGGTCCGTAATACCAGAGGTTCAAGATAAACATAAAAGTTCTATCCTAGAGGTTTAAACAAGAATGTCTTACTGACTTTTAATAATATGCAAGTTCGGCGGGGAAACGTTATTTACCACAAGTTTTTTATCCGTGCTCTAATTGAGCGTATATGTTATATATTAGACCATGCCTCACTTACCTTTTCAAGATCTTGTTAAAAGACTGCTCTTTAGTTTTTTTTTTTTTTTAATTATAGTTTTCAAATGTTTGTGTTTATAGTTTAGCAATGTTAAAAATCAAATTTATTTTGTTATCTTTTTTATCAAAGGTTAGAAGCAACCATGGCTCAGTGGTAAAGTTTTGGATGTGTTCGGTGTCTACTTACCCACTGTTGTTCAATGTCTATTGCTATTCAATACTTGTGAGATGTATACTTTTCATTAAATTTTTTTTTGTAATTTTTTTGAATAACTTATACTTTACCACTTTTAATAAAAAAAACCTGATATACAACGTATTTTTTAAAAGTTTTAACAACCTATAGTTACCATTTTTAAACCACTAAATAAGCCGTTTATTTTGAAAGTGGCATAAGTTACTTTGTTTTTAAACAGAGATTTTTAAATGTTTGTGTTTCAACATGTTTGTTTTACCGTTAACTAGCAAAACTTACCAAAGTATCTCAATAATTTTCGACAAAATAAAAATTTAACCGACTGAACTGTGTCAAATACCCGACTGGCCGACTAAATTTGTAAAAAAACCGAGTATAACTTGAAAATTACCTTTGTCAGGGGAGGGGAGGGGTAACACTCCCTTTCCTACACACCCCCGTATAATCGCCTCTGGATACCGTTACGTTTTAATCATTTTTATCAATAATTGGAAAAAAATGACTTATGCTACTTTCATAATAAACGACTCAAATAGACTATTAAAGGTCCAAGTCCTTGTTAAAATAATTTTTAAAGTTTAACATTTTCAGGCGAGTTTCCAATCATCCGTTTTTTCACGGGAACGGGAAAGGCACGGGAAAAATAATCACGTGGGCATGCGTAGTATAAGTTTTATGTCTGAAGGAAAACTACGCATGCTCATGTGATGATTATTCCCTTTCCTATCCCGTTCCCGTGAAAAAACGGATGAGTGGAAACTCACCTTTCCAGCATGATTGCATAATCCTAAATATATAAAATATTTTATGCTGATTTATAAAATACTCTATTAGGGAGGACGGGGGGGTCCAAAGTTCTATATTTCTTGTTTAACCAGTTATTCTTAATTAATTTTTTGAGAAAAGTTCAAAAAACAATTCAGTTTTTGCTAATTTTTTAAGGTTGACTTTCTACTTCTATTTTAAAAATTTAAAGATATAAAAAATAAAAGTCTTTGCAAAAGTTTCTTTGCGTATTAAGTTACGTAAATTTTCTTTCAAGTTTATTCAAATTTTG